TGCGAAAATTCCCTTGGTGGAAATTGTTGTGGTTATGGTAGCAGTTGTGTAGCAGATGGCAAGTGCATTTCAACCGCTGTGCCTGCGACAAATCAACCTGTCAGTGTGATTCCTAGCGGGTGCATCACCAATCAGTTCGCTTGCCCGAGTTCACAAGGAGGAGGATGTTGCGACAATGGTCTAGCCTGTACGGTCCTTTCGAATACTAATTACTGTGCTTTTGCTACGGGAACGAATGTCCTCACTCGCACTGGACTAGGTGGTATTTTGGCGACGATCGCATCATCATCCTCGTCAAGTAAAGGACTTTCAACTGGTGCAAAAGCCGGGATTGGAGCTGGAGTTTCAGTCGGCGCACTCATAGTAATTGCCTTGCTTTATTTCTTCTGCGTCATCCACCGTCGAAATGCAAGGGCACAAACCCAGCATCAAGAGGAATCGCATCCTGCTACATCACAAGTCGATGGATCAGCAGTGGCTGGATCGGAAGCACCAAACGGGTCCAAGGCTGGGTCCAAGAGGCCTCCAGCTGAGAGACAGATATCTCAACCTTCAGACTATTTTGGTCCAACAGCCAAACCAGGTCCTTACACTGATCGCGCCTCTTATGCACAGAATGTCAATGCTGCCACAAGCCCTGGTCAACAAAATAGAGGAGTACCAGCTGTCCCACAAAGCCCTGGGGATATTGCCAGTCCGGTTGAGATTGACTCCAGAAATCCATCAGATGTTCACCCAACACCACTCACAGACCAATACACTACGCAAGTGACACCGCAACATCGATTTGAAATGCCGTGAGAGATTGCTCTACTCAGGTCATCTAAATACAAGGTCCGCTTTCTACCCATTAGAATAGTACAAGATCGCATCTTCGCATCTTTTAACCTCCAATCACTCAGACGCAAATTTTCCTGGGCTAAACCAGTATGAACCAACGCCCCCTCGGCGGCCGACCCCAAACGCCAACCATGCCCTCAAACAAAAGAAATCTCAGCATAGCGCGCCCTCAAATACTGTGCTCTCTTTTAAATCTGCGACTAGATCATCCACGCTGCTCAGGTGTCGACCAAGAAGGACTTGTTTCTCCTCTGTTGTTCTGATATCGATTTGACTATCGGACCTCTTCCTCGCCGCAGAGTCGCTTCGGAACGCGCCTGCTAGCTTGCTGGGACTTCTTTGCAACATGGCGGGCACAGAAACGGTACCATTCGCGGACGGTATACTTGGTGTTTCCGGCATCAAGTAGAAGTAGAGAAATTCAACAAGCTTTAGCTTCACCTCCCGCGTTGTTTCTCGCGACTTGAAGATTGAGGTTATGGTCAAGAGGCCTTCGAGGTTTTCGAACGTGCGGGTGTTTTGTGGGGTGTCGATGAGAGCGCAAACGAGTGTGATTATTGTCGCGGATTGAATAGCCGGACAATTGACTGGCTCGAGAAGATCGAGTAGATGCTAGAGAAAACAAATCAGAATTGTTTAGTTCTTAACGTATGCGAGCTTGGAGAACAGGAACCTACATTCATGTATAGATCTCTCGAAAACAGATTACGTGAAGGAGGGTGCAACAACAATGCGCCTTGAATTAAGTCTAAGGACTGTATGATCAAGAGGTCGTTCGCTCCATTATGACCTTTGCCCAACAGTCTGTCCAGGCAGTTTACCAATCGCATTGCCACGTTCCACTCGAAGCCATCTTGTAGCTTGAAGAACTCTCGAAAGGCTGGATCGCTGCTCAAATCGCTCAGAGGCTTCGGCGGCGGTGGTTCTTTTCCCGGGTCGATCACCGAGCGTCGTTTCTCAGCTGCAGACGCAGGCGAGGAAAGACAGATCTGCGCAAGAAGTCCTTCGACTTGACGGAGGCCTTTTCTGATCTTCCCTTGGTCGTAGGATGATAGATTATCAAATGCCATAGATAATAAAGCCTCCATGTTTGCGATTGTTGATTTGGATTTGGGGTTGTGGCAGAGAGTTCAATATCCGATTGATTTTCTCTGATGTCACGACGGGGGAAGAAAACACAAAAAGACGCCCAGAGAAATGTTAATACAGGAAAGTGAAGTGAAAGATTTGATACAGTGGTGTTTTGCGACGATGCCGTCGCGGAAGGAGTAATAATACCCAAACAGACCCCAGAAATCGTTGACTGGGTAACCTGCGATTCGGGGCTGCTCCAAAGACGGGTACTCGTTACTCGGTACTCTTTACGTTAGAGGCGGTGGAGACGACAGAAATATTCCGAGACACCGTTTTCGGTCGAACCTTGTGAATAGCAGGTTGTCGTATGATACCTGAATGGGTGGTCAATAGCACCTCGTCTTTATCCTTCATGATCCGATGGAGTCTTTGTTTACTTTTGCAACAAACACCTTAGATTCAAGGCTTGCGGGAGAAAAGGCCAAGCTAAAGCATCACAACGATTTCAAAAACTGCAAACTGCTGCAGCTCAACCCATCCATCGACATACAAGAGTTCTTTCCCAGTCAATCTCATTTGCTGTTGCTGTTGTCAGGTTCAAAATATTCGACAGGTCGCTATTGGGCGCGTTTCAGGTCAGGTGATGCTGGTGATTGCCTCAACATGGGCTCATGGCATGTGAAGAGGCAGCCTGGGCTGAAGCCAATCCTCGAATGACGAATTACTCCTCGAGGTCAACGCAACCACCAAATCACCAACGAACTTCATGAACACGATTATCAACTCTCACGCGTGCCAGTAGAGTTACTGTTTTTAGGTTTTTTATCCCGAGTCAAGATCGTCGAATGTCATTCATCCACAACTTCAGTGCAACCCGAATTACAACTTAATCGCGTTCAAATCGCTCGGTTTTCTTGCCACATAGCCACACCACCATTCTTTTCGGAACACATACACAGTCTTTCGTACCACCATAAGTCGTCCAGCGTGGCTCTCCGGTCCAATCCCATATCGTGGCAGGAGAGGCGTGTCCTCCGAACGAGAAGTTTGATGCTCCCACACAATCCCCCCAAGGGAAGCACATCAGCAATGGATCGCCTGCAGTCCCCGAATGCAATTCCACCACGAACTTCCTCCTCTGGTCACAATAGCATGTCAGGAACTGCATCAAAGCCTACATTAGGGTCGGTGCCCGAAGGCGATTGGATCAGTCAACGGAAACGAGCACATACGAATCCAAAGAGCATAAAGCCCTTTCTGCAGCCAGGCTCGCCGCCTAACGCTATTAAATACCAGAAGGGAGACATGGCATTTTATGGGAAGAGTAGTTGGTCAGAACCAAAGGAACAGATACTGTTGGGGCCCTATGAATACCTATTCGCACAGCCAGGGAAGGACATCAGGTCGCAACTGATTGGAGCTTTCAATGAGTGGTTAGAGGTGCCCGCGGAGAGTCTAGAGGTCATTTCCAAGGTAGTCGCAATGCTCCATACAGCATCTCTACTGGTGGATGATGTTGAAGACTCGTCGCTTCTGCGGCGAGGACTACCAGTCGCACATAGCATATTTGGAACGGCACAAACGATAAATTCGGCGAACTATGTCTATTTTCTAGCACTACAGGAGCTGGGGAAGCTCAAGAATCCAAAAGCTGTCAATATATATACGGAGGAGTTGTTAAATCTACACAGAGGGCAGGGAATGGACTTGTTCTGGAGAGACATATTGACTTGTCCAAGCGAGGATGACTATCTCGAAATGGTTGGGAATAAGACTGGAGGCCTCTTCAGATTGGCAATCAAATTGATGCAAGCTGAGAGCAGGAATCTCAAGTAAGGATCTCCAATCCAAGCCTCGAAATGGGCGGCTACTAACTCGCTTAGGGATTGTGTGCCTCTGGTTAATCTGATGGGTATAATCTTCCAGATTCGGGACGACTACCAAAATATATCCTCGCCGGAATATTCCTCCAACAAAGGCATGTGCGAAGATCTTACCGAAGGCAAATTCTCGTTCCCTATCATTCACAGCATTCGAGCTCGTCCAGAAAATATGCAACTCCTCAATATCTTGAAACAGAAGACAGAAGATGAACAAGTGAAGAGATATGCTGTTTCGTATATGGAGAGCACGGGAAGCATGGAGTACTGCAGAAAGGTTCTTGAGACGTTGATGGAGCGCGCCAAGAGACTCGTGGAAGGATTAGATGATCCTGGGGAGCATAAAGGGAAGGGCGTCTTGAAAATTTTGGATAAGCTAGCTATCTGAAACAGTGCCGGGTCGTGGGGTTCGAAAATCGGTGGGGACTGGTGTCGTGAATTTCCGGCGCTTGTCGTGCTCGGGGCTGATATCCATTTGCTGATCTAGGATTATTTAGTGTGAACCAAGAGATCCAAGTTCGATTCTTGGTATGATGCCTCAATTACATGCCGTCTGATTTATTCGTAGCCAAAACATTTGCAGGTGCGACACTACTCTGCAATAAGCAGAATGCCTTTTTCGAGGAGTTAATATGTTTTCTGCGCTGTCTTTTTCAGGAAACTAAAACTACTGACTGAAGTGTAGGGCTTGACAGATTCCGTGGCTCCTTTAAAGGTCTAGTTAGGGCTCATCCATATTAGAAGGACTGCAAGACACCAGGAAATTTCCTTGTCATACGTCTGTAAAGAGAATGTAGGAAATTGACCTTGCAAAGATAGGATACTGTGCTTGAATGTCCTATTTTAGATAAGAAAATCAAGTGCAATACCTTCTATTCCATGGGCATTATATTCATCGGCTTAGGTATGGTTTTGAGTATATAGTTATATAAGCGATATGAATTAAACTTGATTTTAATCCGCCTCCATGGGAGTGGAGATAGCAACTCCGACATCACCCCCTTTTTCACTATATAAACAAATCATAGGCCTGCGAGTAGACAGGTACGCATAACTGTATCACGAGCATGGCGGCGCGCTCTTACAACCCACCAAGTCCCCACAACCACCACCCCGCTCCGCTCAAGCCATCCCGAGAGTTTTCGCCCCCACGCCAGCTACCATGATTTTATTTTCAAATAGCGGCACACCAATCATCCAATCATCGGCCAGATGGCGGAGTGGTTAACGCGACAGCCTAGAATACAATTCGATAGCTGTTTCCTTCGGGAGCGTAGGTTCGAGTCCTACTCTGGTCGTTCTTGTGAATTTTTTGGTTTTTCTGTATTGCTCCAAGCGCCGAGCGCTTCTTTTTGTCCAGGCTGTCGACTTTTATTTCTATTCCTTGGGGCCCTTTGCGGAGTTGTAGAGGTGGGCTTCGTACTATTAAGGAGGGTTGCTAAGCGAGGAGAAGGTGTGGTCCGAGGTATCTAGTCAGTCAATAGATGAGAGTAGCTCTAAAACACGATTGTTCTTGGGTCCCATTCCCTCTAATATTACGGATTACTACCTAAATAATAAGATGCAAATCTACCATACTTTGATTTTACCCCTGGACACACGTAGCTCCGACTACTAGGCTCAGCCACCATAGACTACGGGAACTCGAATATTATATAGGCAACGCACATAAGGTAAGTAGCGTGGCTATAAAACCTCTAGGATAAATGCTATAAGGGAAAAAGTTATTTGGCATTTATCCTTAAATGCAAGTTCCTGAGGTGCGGCTTCGTTGTGATATCCGTCCTTCACAATTCGATTGCTTCCCCCATATATTTCACGTCGTCCTTTTTCGCCATCACAGCTCTTCTGACCACTGCTGTGGCCCAAGCATCGTCCAAACTTCTCAACTTTGGCATTGTTAGCACAGGAGATGTTACTAGACTGACCATAGATAAGCCTGGGAATGTAACCCCCGTGTGGCGAGGATAATCTGTGCGACGAAGGGGTTCGAAGGGCCAGCTGATCCAAAGACAGCAACACCGTAATATAGGAAGTAATTGGCACCCGTCAGCCGCCGAATCATTTGGATGGCAACACCAAGCCACACTCGATATAACATGCGAGGTCCTGTGACGATGTCGTACCAAGGATGATCGGTAGCTACTTATTACTCGGCCTCAAACCTTCTCTCTTAGCTCTTGCATTTGTTGTCGGATGACTCGATGGTTTCTGGAGACGCCAGAAAACCTTGAAATGGATTTTCGTGCTCTGGCAGTCTGTCCCTTGTTGCAATTGTGTCGAGGACTCACAAGCTTCCTATTCGTAATTTATTCGACAAGCTGCGTAGCTGTGATTTATGACTTGCCCTGCTAGGAACAACATCTCGCACTAAAAATGAGAGGCTACAAGAAGCCTACCGCACGGGGAATTCTCCAGGATGTTCATCACCCGGCGACCCATTCCTCTTCCCTGTAAATTGGTACAGTAGAAGAGCTGACTATCTATTCCCTGAAAGCCGGAGATCTGCCCAGTGTCATAGCCAAAGCAGACAAATTCATTTGTTAGCATTTGGAGACTGTAAGAACTGCTAGCACACACTGACCTCCCGAGCTGGCCAATATGGCCATGAAGAAAGTCAGGAAGGGCACTTTGAATCATAACAATTGCCCTTTTCGACAGATGCTCCGCCATTCGCATTACCGTGGACTCTGTTGTCAACAGCAGTGCCAGAGTCCGAAAGACTGCTCGCTTGCCCGGTGGAACACCTCCCCTTCAGCGGGGTTCGAATTTCCACAAGTGTAGATACTACAATACAACTATTTGAATGAATTCGAGAGAAGGAAGGGCGGTGTTGCGTATATCAATCCGTCATGTAACGAGAAACGAAAGCACGATCTATATACTATACCATTAAAACCACGGTTACTCGAGTACTGTCAAGAAAGTTCCACATCAAGGCAGGGTGTTACACTGGGAATAGGGGTATTTTCCCTCTGTATGACGATGTCCAAAAAGCCTCAATATCGTGGTGGAACTTGGCTGCTTCTCAAAATTTTCTAGCCACCTTCTGGTGTACTTATAGCCTGTCAGTCCTTAGCTGGTCAATAGAGGCACACGCAGGTGGACAGTAAAAAGAGAGTATTGGGATAAATCGGATTCCTAAGTACTAGTAGTGCTTTAGACCTAACAAACTACTGGCAAACCACTGTCATTCCAGAGATCGCAACTGCGATTCGCACATTTCGCATGTCTTGAATAAAAGCAAGACTCAGTAAGGTCCATAGACGGACACTAACTGTCTTGAGCAACCTTTGACTCCCGAGAAGACATTGATAAGCGGTAAGGGATCCAGGCCGCACCGTATAATTAAACGTACTTATCGTTTCACTGGTGCGTGGTTGGCAGCAACTCATAGTCACCCCGTTACTTTTATGTAGACGAACAAGTGTGGTGGGTTTCTATACCCACTTTCCTCCCAATGAGAGCGGTAGCCCATGATGCCGAGATGGATTAAAAGTCAAAGTCGACTAGTAAGCATGAGTGACAAAAGAGAACCAAAACTGGTCATCCTGAAGCTCTTCAAGAAGCAAGAAGGCGCGTCCTGTGTACTGAATGGAGAAAGGTTGATAACATTATGTTTTGAATAGTGTCAGGGTACCGAATAAGGTAGGCTGCAAATAAAGAAAAAATGCAGTCAATTCAATTGCCACCTAAGCGAGACTTTTGACGGCACGTCATCAAAATTTGCATGAGAGGAGAAAACAGGAGTCGTCGTATCACGTTGGTGGCTACATTCGAAATGTGCAGAAGGCGCTGGGGTCACTGTCGGCCTAATGAAGAACATGAGGAGTTAGCAAGAAAATAACTCACCAGCGTATCTACGCAAATATGTTGATGGCTAGATGAGGACACCTCCACTCTTTTGTCAGCAATAAGTTTTATTAAATACAGTGTGGAGGTTGCACCTTTTTCTGCCAATTCCAGGCTATGAAATAGATCAAGCCAGCCTAACCCCCGCTTGCTTTTGTTTCTTGAGTTGCTGTGCAGTTGCCCCACTCATTCCGCCCATCTGAGACCCGTCCAGGGAGCTTTGAGCCTCTCTTCGTTTCTCGTCTTCGATTTTCTTAAGCATCTTCTCGGTCTTTTGCTTGCCACTGCCCTTTCCGTGGAACTGATGAGACAAATGTTTGAAGGCTTCCTTCTGGTTCATGCTTCGACCAAAATCGTCGATATACTTGAGCTCCACATTTGGCTTGTACTCGTTGTTGAAATGCTCGGCAAGTTGACGGGACTCCTGCTGATCACGGAAGTTATTCTGAGATCTGGCATAATCTTCCTTTTCTCGAGCTGACATGCGATCCAAGCGACCAGTTGTTCGATCTCGCTCTCTCTGCAGACGTGCTTTCCGCTCTGCGTCTGCTTCGCGACGTTGCTTCTCGGCTAGAAACATTTGCTTAGCTCTGAATATAGCATTGAGATCTCCAGATTCCTCGGTCTTGAGAATGCCTCGCTCCTTTAGAAGCTTCAATGTTGAGCCGAGACCACGGTCTAATGTAGCCTCTCTTTCCAAACCAGTCGCCGTCAAGTTATCAACATCCAATTCTTCTCTAAGCAAGCGTGCATTCAAATCTTCTTCGTCCTCGATATTGGCGTAAGACTGGTCCATAGTGGTATCTCCATCATCGTCGGAGTCTTGCCCCATCGAAGTGACACCCTCAATGGGTCTGCTCATCGGCTTTCCATTCGGTTCCGGCGCGACTGGCTTCTGCAAGTTGGCCACAAATTCAGAGGTTTCGTCGATAACTAATCCAGTGGAACTATCATCTACCTCGGCTGTAGAAGTAGATGCCTCGTCTCGAATCTGCTGAGCAAGGTCTTCTGGTCGTATCTTCTTGCGCTTCTTGAGAGCACTTCTTCTTTGAGCAGCTAGCGAAGCTTGTAGGTCGTCATCGTCGACAAATGATGCATCTTCGAACATGCGCTTCTTCGGAGGCTCGCTTAGTATATCGATATCCATGCCATCGGAATTAACTGCATGGTCATTCGTTGCTAGATCCGCAGGAAATATATCGTCTTCATCTACCGCTTTTCGTCGGGTGGATTTAGCCTTCTTTTTCTTCGGCTTTTTCATCTTGATTTCTGAGATGTCGAGGTAATCGGATTTAGGTTCTTCAACTAAATCGTCGGTTAGCCAGTATACAATGAAACTAGGAGCACGCCAAAAGTAGTAAACTTACTCAACATGTCTAGGCTGAAAGCCTTTGGCTTGATCCTCTGAGTCTGACCAAGCTCCGCGAATGTCTCTTTCGTACTTCCCTGGCCATCTAGCGTAAATCTCTTGCCTTTCTTGCCGTCAATTTCTTCGTCGTAATGTGCAAGTATGCTTTTCTGTCCCGACTCGTCTTCGACATCATGGGGATTATACACTGGTTTCTTCTTCTTCAGTTCCAGTTTCTCGTTCAGCTTTTCTCTCTCACGGAGGTCTAAATTTTCCAGCTCATCGCCTTCCTCCTCGTTTTCGTCGATCGTTGTATCCTTCAACGTCAGAACCTGCTCCTCGCCTTCTTCGAAAGTGTCCAGCTCATGGCCAACCTTGACACCGACAAGATCTTTCGCAGTGTACTCAGCCGCAGCTTCTGCATCAGCTTGCTCCTGCTCTCGTTTGTGAGCTTTCTCTATTTCCCTTTGGCGTTTCTTCTGCTTCGAGAGCCATCCTTTTGCATCTAGATCACCCTCATCGTCTGCGAGACCTTTGCCCTCCAGTTTTGAAAATCGCTTGGCTGCATCTCGAGCTTTCTTCACAGCATCTGCTTTTGCGTCGCGCTTCTTCTTCGCCTCCTCTGCCTCTTGTAGCTTTCGGTAGTTGTCATAGCCTTCGGCTTGGCGACTCTCCAAAGTGCTTCCTGCATCTTCGACGGGCGCAAAGCTTGACTCTTTGAAGACGGGACCAGCATCTCCAGGGACTGGCAACGGTTTCATCCCCAGAGAAATTCGAAGGCGGTTCGTCTCTTCGATAGAGATAGCGTCCGCCATGATGGGCTGGGTAGATAATGGTCAGTTGGCAGGGTGTGTAGGGCGAAGTTGTGGATGGGATATGATCCTTGCGGTATGTTGCTGCGCTGTACTCGCAAGAGGTAAGAACGTGTGATCTGCCGAGCTGGATCAGTTACATCAAGTTGCGGGAGGGGTAGTGTCTTGAAGATTTGTCGGTCGTGAGGAGCCTGGAGACTTCCAAGTCACGAGGCGAGGCTCTGCACTAGCGGCAGGGGAAGGATGACTAAGTGGGACCCACCAAAAAATATATATATTCTCCCGC